TATAACGAAACTTAGCATTAAAATGTTAGATTGGTCACAGAATTGCTGTCTCATACTTCTGCATTTGTTCTTCGATGCTACAAACCTAGTTGAGATCCTAACTTAACTAATTTTATCAAGATCATCAATGATCGGTAAGATTTTATGAGCACTTACATGCCACGTACTTCTTTTTCTTGTTTATCAAAACAATGATTTAAACAAAATGTATAATTATTAAATAAACAAGATGTTGAGGAAAAAAAATTCTAATATTTCAAAAAGTAATTCTTTTAACCACCAGATTACTGCAATTCCTTAACCATTCACTAGACTAACTGGTAACTTGTTTGAGAATTTTTCTTTTTTCATTTATGGATTCTTTTATCTTAATTTACACATTCTGGTGATGAAAATCAAAGTTCTGATGTAAATAAATCTTATTATGTGCAAAACTTATGACACAGAGGCACTGGTAACAATGCTCAATGTTCTGCAAAAACTTTCAATTCAACAATCCAGCATGTCTGCCAAAAAACAACAATCCCTGTTATAAAATTGCTTCTAAAACGTTAGGCCTCATTAGTTTCTTTATATTTTCCATGAGTTTTCCAAAATCTTTCTGGAAAATATTTTCCCCTGACTTTCTAGGCCAGGATATTTCACTAAACAAATTCCACGACTTTCTAGATTTTCCGAGACCTGTACAAATCCTTTAGATAATCCAGGATTTGTGGTATTTCACTATTCTGTCCTTGTTCTGCTTAGATGTGTTTATAAAGCTTTCTCTTCACTCCAGAAACCAGTCTGAGTTGGAATGAATTAATCAGCCAGCCATAAAGTAAAGAAACAAACAGTATTAGTTGATATTACTCTATTTACTTGTGTACTTATACTTCCTTTGCTGTCTGTATTAATTATAATACTATGTATAATATTTCCAGAACCTGCATTTCGCAGACACTTGTAACTACCTGATGATTTCAGTGTACTTGAAGGCCACATAGATTTATGAAGGCTAAACTAATTAAATAAGTTAGTCTAACAGAAATTTATTGTACTGTAAGTTTTCATATCTTCTTTCAGAATTTTAACGTACACTTTTTATAACTGAAGTAACCCATGTTTAAAGTCTTGCTTATATATGAATATTTGATTTCTGAAGATCTGACAGAGTTAAAAAAAGAATGACAAAGAATAAAACTGTATGAAAAAGTACATTCTCCTTACCTGTTGACCTAACATGAGATTCTGAGCTGCTAATGCAACAGCCTTCATACCTGAAGAGCACAGTTTGTTAATTGTTGAACAAGGTGTTGTTACTGAGAGGCCTGGTAACAAAATAGAAAGATTTCAATATAAAGTTTAATATTTTTTGCCTTTATTTGAAAGCATAATAAAATGTAAATTCAAAGCTTTAAGTCTGCTTAGGCATTATAATACTGTAAAGTATATTATTTTCCATATATATATATGTATATATATATATATCTTTTTTTTTGGCCTTGTTTATAAAATAGTAGTTTTAACCTCGAGAAGCAGAGCTTACTCACCTGCTCCTAGTGCAGCCTGTTTAGCTGGATTTTGTCCTAGACCAGCTTGATAAACACAACCCATGTATACCTCTTGTACAACTTCTTTAGGAATACCTGAAATGGTTATATTCTTCTACAAAAATCATTCAAATATTTTGCCTCAAACAAAAATGAAAAAGAACATATAGCTTGGCAATCATATATATATTGGAAATCTTTGAATTTCACACAAGTATTGCAGGGCTAAAAGTAAGTGCTAGACACTGGTTGTTGTTCAACAGAAACATGACTGATGAAGGTTTTTACACTGCATCTATACAAAAAATTATTTTACAAATCTGTTTAACAAAGTAATGCAACAAACAAATCCATGAAATACATCCAAGTTCACATTATCTCACAAAACCCATATCTATGAATTGTAGTTTTCAGCAATATCAGTTCTTACTAGCTTAATACAACATTTGATACAGTTACAAGCAGAACTAAGAATGCTAATCTCAGGCCTCAGTTTATAAATCAGCATGTAATTTACTAGTAATGCTTTTTTTTTCCTTGCAGACCAGTCATATCATCTGGCAACCCTGTCTTTCTACATGAAATTTAATGTCAAAATTAAAATGTTTTCCTGTGAGGGTTGGAATGTTCTATGAATTTCATGGTTATAATATGTTAGTTATCATTTGCCCTTACATGGATGATAGTTTACTTAGTAGTAAAATTTACATTACTCTTACAATTCCCCTGTAATAAATTCATTCCTGAAGTTATCATATATAGGTATGGTGTATCAACATTAGCTTCATCTAGAAATACTTAAAAATTGTACTTAAAATTTTGAAGAATCAACTTCGTCTGCATTTCTTAAATAAATATAAAAGCTTAAAGGTTTTTATTCCTGTTTCATCCTACAATCCACCATTCTAGGTACTCAGAAAGTTCTTTCTAATTTTGAAATAAAATAAAAGAATACAGCATTTAAATCATTAAACAAATACTAAAGTGAGTCCTGTATATTATTTGAACAAGAAATAAATTCTATTGACCTTGTAAATTCAAAACATTTTATTGAAGTTCTTAACAACAAAGTTTGGTAAAAATTAAAAACAAACATTTAGAAAAGCTGAATAATTTGAGGTAACAGGTAAATTTTTTTTTAGAAAATCCTGATAAAGTTATTTAACTACTCTAAATATGTATTAAATGATATTGAAAAAAAGGTGCTAGTTCACAGTTTACAGTTTAGTATTCCTAATTAAATTTTGAAATTAATTTTCTCAATTAGAAAGTTTCTACAAATATTGTCACATCAATGTATTTGGAGTCAATCATTCAGAAATATTAGAACTGAAATTAGTAGTGTAACCCTTAATGCATTTAATAATTGTAATAACAACTACAAGTATTTTTCAGATTTAAGTTCAAAAGAATTTGAAGCTTTAACAGGTCATAGTATTGTTATCTTAAATAAAATGAATATTTAAGAAAACCTAGTGAAATTTCAAATGATTCTACTAAAGTTAAAATTATCCTTACCTGAAAATGTATTTCTGATACTCAGTTCATCACACAGTTAAGCTATCTTCCCCACACATCTGCCTTAGAGATTTGCATGCCCCGAGCCTTCAGTGAGCTCCCACCTAATCTCACAAGATTTCTTGTGAATGGCCCTACTACATAATGAAACCATTATGAAACAAAATACATCCATTATTAGGAGGATGCCACATCTACTGGCACACTAACTCTCTCTATGAATTTGCATTTGTGAATTTTCATTCTTTTACAAATACTAGGAACACTAAGGTGCACCAGAAATGGGAAGAATGGGTGGGAATGTGTGTGAGAGGTGAGTATCTATCAGAAATACAGTTTCAGGTAAGGAAAACATTAACTTTCAGGATAATATCACACTTCAGCACATGGGTAGGCTATAATCCTAAACTGAAGTGGTGGAGGGGGCCAGTGCATAGATTTACCCAGATGAGCTCCCTTCAGAAAGCACCCAATGGAAGTCCATGGAGTGTGACACCCAACAGCAGGGGCTCGGTAGGAGCACATCCATGGGAGACCACGTATCATCTTTTCCAGAGTATACTCTTTGCCCAGGAATAAGGTAGGAACAGGCAAACAAGCCCCACGTGTTATAGGGATGGGCAGCATAGGAACATGGCCATCCAAGTACTTGCACAAAAGAGGTTGGTGAGCCAATATTTGTTGCATGGTTGGGGTGCATTCAGACCATACCTTGTGCTCACTTCAACTCTACCTTCAGACTTGATTGGACTGACACTAGCTGTAGGAGGGCACAGTAGAAATAGCATAGAAAATAGTATAGTGTGTACACACTTCAATTCAATTGAACAAGTGATATCCACAGGAGTTGATCACTTCAACTCTTCTGAACAGACACAACACAAAGGAGGAGAGCATGGGATAGTGATGCCTGCTCACCTCAACTCAACTGACTCGAGCCACATTAGGAGGGCACAAGTACCATGTGGTATAATTATATGAGTTGTAACCTGAACCACACTGACAGTGTCACTATTGCACGTACTGGCACTCCTTGTTCTAGCCCAAGTGATTAGGTCCCAGTCAGTGAGGATTCTCCATGATTTGCCTCCCCATCAGCTAGGAACTGGTAAGCAGCAAAAGTCTCTCATCTTCCACTCAAAGAGAAAAGGAGGAAGGAATTTACAGTGGAGGGGCCCAGAGAAAATGCCTGGATCACTATCAGTCCTTCAGCCAGTAATGTCTTTTACTGGAGACAGTGCAATGGGTGACCATGTAACTTTATTTTGAAAAGGCAGCAAGTGGGCAGAACACACCATAGTGCTGGCTTTTTCTATGATAGACCATGGAATAGGTACAGTTTGGATCAGACAGCTGTCAGATATATAAATATACAAAGAGAATACCTCAAGTGGTCTTGTGGAATACTCCATCTCATAGTAGGTATATATATGGAACCAGAGTGGATGGTAAGAGTGCTTTCTGTTATCCTGCTCAATGCAGATTTTGAAAAATAAATATATCCCAAGAGGCATAATCAGCCACCTGATGGGACCCTTTAAGCAACGACACTGAAAAAAAAAGAAAATGTGGAAGGCACTCACCTGTCTAGAGACAGTGGGTAGACTGTAAAATGGCAAACATGAGCACGCAGTAACCCACGAGAGATAAGACAGCCAGATGTTAAAGATAGTAGGTGACAAAGCTGTGAGTAGTAGTCCACATGCCTGCCTGAAGGAGCTTTTCCAGTGGCCACTTTTCTTTCTTTTCTTCTCGATTCATTTCTCTTTCTACTTTTTCAGGTTGGGTCCAGCAACTTCTACATTTAGTCTACTCTTCATGGGGGTTGATGTTCACAAACTGTTCCACATTTCATCCCATGAGAGTTGTCATCTCACTCATTCCCTCACTGCTCATTTTCAGAGCATGAACAGGCACAATAATCTGTCTGGGTCCAATTTATCTCAGAGAGACAGAAGGAAATTAGGGAAAAAGAGCAGTTATCTTCCTTAGCAGCTGAAAACTTTTGGAGGAAGGACTGGTAAGAATAAAAAGAATATAAGAGCAAGCAATGGAAGAGGGTATGAGAGGAATCGACAGCATAAGTACCAGGATGAGAACAACCACAGATGAGACGTAAGTAGGTCTTGAGAGAAAGGTGGTATAAAGTGCAAGTTATCAACAGCTCGAAAGGTTTGTGGGTAAGAGCAAACAGAACTGTGGTCCCAGTCAGGCATGATAATGGGTCTGTTGAGAAGGAAGAAATGGAACAAGGTGGGGAAAACTGGGGAGGAAAACACTGCAGTATCAAGAAAGGAGATATGTTGTGGACAAGGCCATACAATAACCAGCAACAGCGGAGACAGCTATTTTACAGTCGAACAGCCAGAAAAAGAAAGAGGAAAAATGATAAATAGCTGGATGGTCAGGAGGAAGGTAATGACAGATGAAACAATGGTGGAAAACCCTCCACTTATGGTGGTAGATGGACAAAGTGGAAGGGCAACAGGAATGAGAAAGGAAAAAAGCTACATGATTGGAGAGTCCAGTTCTACAGACAAATCCTAAATGTGAAGGTTGAGGGATGAAATTTCTTGATGAAACCATGACTTGTGAGATTGAAGCAAGATAGTGGGTATAGTTGGAAGGGAAAGAGAGAATAAAGTTCATGTAAGAAATGTTGAGCTAGACAAGGAGTGTCACCAAGAGGACACAACAAGGTGTGTTTTGAATCAAGGCCAGGACCTCAGGTAAAAGACAGACAGGTGGTTATGTATAAAGGAAAAGATGAGATCAGTCCTGGCTGAAAACATCAACGGCCAGGGGTGAGGAATTGGAAACAGGAGATCAGAAGAGAGGAAGCTTGGAATTGAGAGGGGTGGCAAAAGCAATGATGAGCGGACTCCTCAAGAGAGAGCACACCCAAACCTGAGGATAGATAGAGACCATACCATGGGCAGAACATGATCCACAACCAGGTTGATAGTGCTCATTATATGGCAGGTAATGAGATAAACCTCTTGAGAGTTGGCCCAATATAGAAGATCCAGGGTTTGATAGCAAAGGGTCTTGAATTGGATACCCTTTGACAGTTGATATAAAAAACAACTGTGGAGTTGTCAGAATGGATCATAACAATAAATAGGAACATTCCTGATGAAATGTCAGAAGTTTGAGTGCATTGACATGTAGAGAGGACTCTTCCTGGGTCCATGTACCCAAAGTGAGATTGTCTTTCAGTGATGCTTCACAACCAGAGAAGGAAGCATTGGTGAAGAGGTGCAGGTCTGACTTGGGTGGAGGTAATGGAACAACAAAGGTGATATCAAATCAGTCAAGCCACCAAGACAAATCCTTGAGTAGAGAAGGAGGTCTCGAGAGTGGTTCCACTGGTTGTGTAAGGAACAATGGAGGAGTCACATTTAATCCTTTTGTTATGAATGACATTTTAAAATCATGTACTGCATATGGGACTGGGTTACATTCAAAAAATAATTAAACCACTTTACTATCAATGTGTTTTAATGAAATTATCATTATTAAGTATATTATAATTCATGGTTTTAGTTAACCCAAACTTCTTGATCCTGTACGCACAA